TTTAGGGTTTAAGGTATAGGGTTGAAGGGTTTAGGGATTACTTGGGGTTCATAGTCTTTAGGTACAGCGCGAATCCGGTGCGAACGCTATCAAGAAAACACCTCAACCCTAAACCCTAAANNAAACCCAAAACCCTAAACTCTGGACCGGCGCCTTCTGCGATCGCCTCCTTACCGAGCTTCAGGACCACCGGCGCTGCCTCCCCTGACAAAGGTAGAGGGGATGAGGGCAGTGTTTAGGGTCTAGGTTTAGGGGTTTAGGGTTTAGGGTCTAGGCTTAGGACCTATAAATAAACTCTACCAGTGAGTTCGAACGTGTACTATTTTCTATTCGGCGCTACACGTTTACTTTTTAGATGAACCCGCTTACTTTTTATTTCGGTTTACTTTTTAAGGTAATTCGAAATATACATTCGGATCGACTTTATATAATTATTCAAGGCTTCTTTCGGCAGTTGAATCATTGCTGAGTTCGGTGGGTTCGAACACCCAAACAGAACTCCCTAAACCCTACATTCACCCTACATATATAGTCTCTATATATATATATATACATACATACATATAGGGTTGATATGTAGTTAAAAATATCATATATATATGATATATAGATATACATATATATAGGGTTGATATGTATTTATAAAAATATAATATATGTATATATATATATATAGATAGTTAGTATGAAAGCCAATCCCGAGAAAGCTTTGCGAAGCGACGCAGCTGCTCGAGGCAGGAGGCCCGAAGCGTACATGTTCGTGTGTGTACGTACTATGTGTGCGCATACGTTCATGCACACCTTATATGTCACACAGCAGATTCATGCACGCATAGTTCTAAATTGGGTTACAGAAGAGGGAACAAGCCTTGTTGTTGTAGATTGCTAGGAGCTGTCCCGAAATTCTGATGTCATCCTATCGATCTTTGTAGGGCCCCACAAGTATGCTACATCAGAACGTGTCTAGAGTGCTGCTCTCGCTGCCTCTGTAGGCCACTGTAAGCCCTGCATGTGTGTGTGTGTGTGCGTATATATAGAGAGAGAGAAAGAGAGAGAGAGAGAGAGTGAGAGAGACCCTAGATATAGCTTTCCTCCTAGCTGTACTAAGACTGTCGTTCATCCCCGGCCCCAATGGCACCACCCAGTAATTTAAATGTGTGAAGCGCAACTCTGCGCGATGGCCGCCCACCGACAGAAGGGCTCTGAGGTCCGCCCCCGCTCCCCATGCTGTTGTTTGTGCATTGTGCAGTGCATTCAGATTGAACCGGATTCATTGGAGTGCTGCATGGTTCGTGGTGCGATCTTAAACCTCCGTCCACAGCAGCTACTCTGCTTCGAACCATAGATGGACATCATGACATCTATAGACATTGGCATCCCATTTGCAAACAGAATTCAATTCAGCAGTCATATAGGCATACTGGGCCAGGGATTTGCATGCTTCGCTTTTAGAAACCTGCAGGTCTTCATTTGCCTTTGTTGCTCTCACCATGGCACAGTTTGCTACGGTGGATTGCCTGCATATGGTGTGGTTGAAAGAGCGGGATATCCAAGCTCGCCTCGAGGAGGGAGGACGGCTTGTCAGGGGTGTAGATGGTGCCACGTTTGTAAAGTCGAGCGAGGATGACTGCATTGAGAACTCTGCCTTCTTGAAGCCTTATATGGTTAGGCAGCGGGGAGCTCGAAGCCTGGATGTTCCCGACCTCGATGCCCTGAAACACCAGCTTCTTGCTATGCACACGCCATTTGCCTTGATTCGAGCGAAGACTTCGAAAAGGCCCAGGGCTCTGCTAGAGGCTACGGTGGAGTTGGTGCAAGCGAACGCCCACTTGGATGCCAAAGCCCTGAAGCGCTTGTTTTCGTACGCACGCCAACGGTACCTGAAGCCTCACACCCCGAAAGATGCTCGGCTGCACAGTTTGTGTGAGATGAGACAGCATCGTTATGTGAATGAGCGAGTGCGAGAATTTTTGAGTGAATGATTTCAGTGCCCATGCATCTGTGATGTTCCAAGAATCCGGACTTTGCGGCTCTCCTGGAATTGTGGGGCGAGAAAGAGCCTTCCTTGCAAAGTCCCGTGAGTGTTTGCATTCAGAGCTGTTTTGTACGTTGGGCTTGCATGATGACACCAGCCATGCAGTGCTTGAGGATCTTTATGGTAAGGGTGGCAAAAAGACCCGGTGGGATTCTGCTGATGCTGATGAAGTGGCTGGCATGGAAGATGCCTTCGAGGAGCATCCCGAGGACCTCGAGGATGCTGAGGAAGAGGAGGGGGAGGTGGATCCGGTGGTGGATGTTGCCCCTCTCCCTGAGCCGGTGAGTGATCCCCGTTGCCTTGTGCCCTCTGCCTTGCAAAGGAAAGATGCTGTGGTTCACATGAACAGTTCGGCCTCGATTTCCTCAGATGCCACGACCCTCATCCTGGGTGAGACGGGGACCCCTAAGACACCGAAGCCGATTAAGGACCTTCCGGGTGTAGAGCCGCCGTCGGGCCAGATCACACCGTCCCCTCCAAGCGATCCAGCCCCACGTTTGGTCTACAAGGAAGTCTTGTATGTGGCAGAGTCACCCAGGAAGTTGGTGAAAGCAGAGCTTCACGATGAGGCAAACGAGCCCACCCGATGCCAGCCGGATCATATGGACAAGCTGGCCGCTATGCAAGAGCTGGCTATGCTGGAAGCCCGCCTAAAGGAAAGAAAGATGACAAATGCAGCCGAAGCCCCGCCACCCGAGCCGGAACACAAGGATGCAAGCGAAGACGAACTAGCCCCAACCGAGCCAGATCAAGAGGAGCCCACCACAGAACAGCCAGAACAGATGGACAAGCAAGCCGCTATGCATGAGCTGGCTTTGTTGCAAGCACAGCTGCCGCAGTCTCGGTCGTTTCGGATAGAGTCGTGCAGTGCAAATCAAGTACACAGATTTGGATTGTTGGCTTCGTTTCGAAAGGTTGCAGCTTCGATCGGCTCGACGGGATGCCAAGGGCAACTTGTCTATAGGAGTGCGCGAGTGCAAGCATCATAAGAACTGATGTGCAGTATGGCCCTCGACATGCACACAAAACTCATGCATGCATATTATGTGCTGTATGTACATAGTTTGTTCTGTATCTCCATCAAGGACCTGTTCAGCCTTCCGAAGCTGTGCTGGACACGGATGAGACACAGGTGGCGGCAGCGACTGTGCTGGACATGGAGGCCGATAGATTGGCACGCCTCAACTCGACCTCCGCTTTGGTTGAGGCCCTGCCAGACCCGCCTGCCCCTAGGCCTATCCTGATCGAGACATACATACATGCTTTGATGAACCGCTTTTATTGCTTTTGCAGTTGCAACGATATCCCAGGTTATCAGTCGTGAAGAGCAGCTGGATGCTAGGAAAAAGCGCAAGGACATTGCGGGTGCCAAGAGAGGCGCGAAGAAGGCCGCTACTCTATATATGCATGCATAGCTATCCTGCATTCATGCAACGTTAGTTTCAATCCGACTCGCCGGTCAGGACCATGTTGCAAAGGAGGTGGCTCCAAAGGCCAATGAGGTCTCGACTTTTCAGGTGGACCAGGCAACGGCTGAGGCTTCAGAGGCCCATGAGGGCCCAGCTGCCAAGGTGGGACAGGCAATGGCTGAGGCTCCGGAGGCCACTGACGGCCAGCCTGGAGAGCTTGAGTTGCCGGCGACGAAGAAGCGCAGAACAGCCGCCAAAACCAAGCCTAAGCCTAGGGAGCAGGAGGATCCGGAAAAAACTGGGGATGCTGTGCCGGGAGAAGCCAAGGAGGACAAGGAGCCTGTGCCGGGCAAGAGCTCGAAGAAAGGATCGGGGAAAGGAAGGGGGAGAGGAAAGGGCAAAGGAAGGGGGAAAGGAAGGGGCAAAGGAAGGGGGAAAGGAAGGGGGAAAGGAAAGGGTGCGAACAAAGCAAACAAAGGCAAAAGCAAGCGCAAGAATCCTGAGGCTTCGGAGGCAGAGGCTCCAGCGAGGAGATTGTCTAAGAAGACGGCCCCGGAGGACAAGGACGAGGCCACGACAGTGACAGAAACCAAGAAGAGACGCCAGGAAGGCCAGGGTGACAAGACAAAGCCAAAGAAGCAAAAGCAACCGGGCCTCGACTTTGAAGAGGCCTAGTGAATTTGATTCTAGAGCAGATCCAGATGTGTGTTCATGTCTGTCATCATCAGAAGACTGAAGTGCATTTGAGTTCGGTTTGTGGTTGCTGTGGACGTATTTATGGGTAGCTTCCCGCAATCCTTGCATACAGGAGAAGATTGGCCTCAGGAAGCTTGTGGTTTCGGCAAACGGCGGCCTCACCCACTATGTCATTATGGTCTACTGGACTCGTCCAGGTGTGGGCATCAAGCAGGTGTCGGACGGAAAGCAGGCACCTGTGAGCCGTAGGCCGACTTACTGATCCATTTATTCTCTTATGCACGCAGGTACAGTACTTGGGCATGAAGGGTGTATGCATCTCGAAGCTTTTGAGTGCTGCGATCGACCGTGTGGCTTGATCTAACTGGTGATGCTTGAGCTTCTCTTTGCCATTGCTTGAGTTGTGTCGTTAACGTGATCAATGATCGAGGCTCGGGTGATGGACGAGGATCCATCGGATCTGAAGAAGATCAGCCAGTACGTTTTCAAGCGCAAGCAGGAGCTTACCAAAGGTAGCAGAAGCAGCAGCTGAAGATGACGTGGGGAGCGTGTGCAAAGCCGGCTTAGAGTACAGCCCAATGAAGTTGGAAACCGGATTGTCCTATTCGTTTAATATAAGGATGATTATAGCGCTGGGATTCCCTATACTGCACTCTTATATAAGGATAGCAGCTCTTGGGTTTCCAACTATTTGGGCTTCGGTGTTGGAGTGTGGATGTGCCCTGTGGGGCTGGGAAACAGGCAAATCACGTCTGCATTCGCACCTTGCTGGCCTAGAGCACTAGCTGGGGCAAGAAATCTGAAGGTCGTCCTTTGCTCGCTGGCTGAAAACGTGACACCATTGCAGCTCTTGAGTGCAAAGCATGGTTCGCTTATAAGTTGCATGCACGCATGTGTCTTTGGCACAGGTCTGTGCTGTTCTATGCCGGTGCCAAAGTCTCTTCGTGGGCGTGTGGTGGAGACTTCTTCTGGCAGGGCTAATGCCGACATCCGTGCAGCTGACTTGTGTTATAATTATATAATGGTACCTCTGTAATTCTTTCGCCCTACAAACCCTATAAACCTAATCTAATTCATGGTATACTGATATATATATATATATATGATTTTACCTTCCCCAAAACCCTAGTCTAATTCTAGATCGAATACTTATAAGCCTTCTACAGTAGGTCCGCCACCAAGGTTGTTGAGTCTGGGGTGCAAGAAGCTGAGAGTGTCGGCTTTTTTCGAGGCTTCAACCCTGCATGGCTATAATTGCCCTATAGGACCCATAAACCCTTAAATCCTCAAAACCCCTACTTAATTTATATAGTGTATATATATATATACAAAACCATACAAACCCTAGAAGCCCTAAGCGAAAGGATGCGTATGCCTTGCATACCCTTAAACCCGGGCTCTTCAATAATGCAGCTTTCCAGGTGGCATCTTTCGGTGTTGCTTAATCTCTGCAGCAGTATGCTCGCAATTTCTCGTCGATTTATGTAATAATCCCCTGGAATCATCTTTCTGTACGGCACCTCCTGGCTGTTGATTAATTACGTGGTTAGTAAAGCTTGGGCTTCACGGAGTCGAAGGGTGCCGTGGTCTTGGGGTAGAGGGTGTGAGTTGGTACATTCTGGTAGGGATGATCATGAAGTGTCCATGCCGGGGTGTGGGGCTCCTAGACAAGGATATACGATTTTATTCTAAACCCTCGAACAGGACACTCAACAAGTCGTCCATTTGGCCAACTAAAGAGTCTTCTTAGGGGTTCCAGGAGTCTATATATGGTGTATGATGGTTAAATGCTCGCGGCTTCTAGGAGTGTATAGGCTATTGTGGGCTCATCATTACTTACTTCAGGATATGGGCGGAGCCGAAGGCTCAGGATGTTGACTATATAGAGTTAGAGAACGTACAAGGTTGTATTGGGATATGTTCGTTGCGAAAAATGCGGGGAGCTTCTTGAACTTTCGCGGGATTCAGAGGCGCTCCTGCTAAACTTGGTTGCCAGCTGTCACATCTTATGCTCGTGAGCAGCGGTGTCTCAGGCCGTGGTCAATTTTAAACATGGTCTACCTACCACCTACTATGTCTAATCACAGAATGCTATCAATTGTAAACTCGATACTGACGACGACTGTACTATATACTGCATGGCCACTACAAAACTAAATGTCGTGCCAATATACTTGTTAGCCCCTGCTACTGCCACTGCTGCTGCCCCACTTTCTGCTGCTAGACTGCCATTATACTACTATACACCGTTCATTTCTTCTATTTACAATCTATAGTCGTCAACTTGAAAAATCCCAGATAGACTATACCAGATACTGCACCGACGACTAGACTATCTCTATATATATATATACACACGATACAGACCACTTAAATACGAAATAGACCACTACACTACTACGTCGCACTAACATACCCGCTGGACCTGCTACTGCTGCCTCTGCAGCTGCCACTCTACACTGCTATTTGTTGATAGAGAACATATCCTTATATATATATATATACATATATAAGTATAAATATATAAGTATATATATATATATAATATGCAAAAATGTATACAGTATATATCTATATGCATCAGTAAGACTTAGAGTACACATATAGGAACCCGCTTTGCGGCTTAAGTCGTACTGCACAGGTAGCTGAAGCCTCAGCGCAAGAGTCCAAAGGAACCAGCTACTCTGGGTTCTCGAGTCAGGGGGTTAAGTTGGTTCAACAGAGTTTTCGACCCAAGACTTGGGTGCTAGGGTGAGATAGCAGCAATGCAAGTGTTATCGTCCTACTAGTTTCTTCCTCAAACCCTAAACCCCAAACCCTAAACCCTAAACCCCTAATTCCTAAACCCCTCCGTAAACCCTAAACCTAAAGCCCCTCAACCTTGAACCCTCAACGCTAAATGCGCAGTGCTAAATCCTAAGCCCCAGAAACCGTACCCTTGAACCTCCTGACCCGCAGGAGCCCTGCCAAAAGTCGGATTGAACGATGCCTTTTGGGGATAGCAAGCCTGCTCCTAACACAGCCTAAACCCCAAAACCCTAAAGCCTTAAACCCTAAAACCCTAAACCCTAAACTCTTAACACAGGAGCCTACCCGAACTAAAGCCTGCCTCTGAAAGCAGAAGCCTCTTCACCACAACAGCAAAAAAGGGGCTGAAGCGAATACTTGGGAATCCAAAACCCTCCGCTTTAAGGGTTCTACCCTCTAACCTAGTTGTAGGGTTTGGGGTCACAGGTACTGATTATTAGCCTTGTTTGGTAAATCGTAGAGAAAAAATTGACCCTCCCCCCTCCTCCCCCACGGTCCTAATCTTTCAGGACGAGTCCACACCAAACGTCTCCTTCGATGCCTCCCTGATTGGAGCCATCGCTCTGCTTCTGCCGCTGGCCGCTGTGCTTGCTGGGCGCTTCGAGTAGCCCCACACCGCCGGTCTATTGGCGTTTAGGGTCGAGGAAACCCGAACCTTGAGGCTCAAAATGGCCCAAAAGCCTTATAGAGTATGGTCTTTGGGGCCCAAAAAGCCTTAAAGTATAAGTATGAGTCCTTATAAAGCCTTGGGGTAATCCTTATGATCCCTAAACCCTAATCCTTGTGTTGCTTAGCCGCTCAGGGGCTTAGGTTTTACCTTGAGGAGCTCCAGGGGTGTGAGCCCCAAGCCCTAAACGAAGTTCAGACCCTGAGGCTCTAGGGGACTCATATTTTAAGGCTATTGGGCCCAAAGACCATACTATATAAGGCCTTTTGGGCTATTTTGGGCCTTAGGGAGACAATCACAATCTGTAGAAGTTTGATGTTTTTTAAAGGCTGTGGCCTGTCATTTGCACGGCGCAGCCGAATTTTCCTCACCGCCTGAAACGCCCATTCAGGGGCTCCTGTCACCTGGGAGTCATGACGGGTAGAGTTTAGGGTTTGGGGTTTAGGGGTTTAGGGCTTTGGGGCTTAGAGTTTAGGGTTTGGGTTGCATTTTGCAGGAACGATTTCTTTAGTATGTGTTTAGGGGGTATATAGGGTTGGGGTATGGTATGAATTAGGCTGCTGTAGGGCTAAAGGGCGATGGAAGCACAGTTCTCGATGCAACGGGTTGCGATGTCGTCTATACAGGTAGATAGATAGACCGATGGATACACAGATATAGACAGATAGATCGTTAGGTCGATGGACAGATGGACAGATTGATGGGTAGATAGACGGATAGATAGGTAGACTGATTGATTCATTGATGGATAGATAGAGAGACAGATAGATCGACATAAAGATCGATGGATCGATACATACATACATACATACATGCATGCATGCATGCATGCATACATACATACATATACATACATACATATATATATAATGTATATAAAGAGACAAACACAGTAGATCATTAGGTCGAGCGATAGATGGATGGGTGGATAGTCGGACAGATGGACACATGCACAGATGTATCGGTAGATAGATAGAGATAGATAGAGATAGACAGATAGATAGATAGATAGATAGACAGATAGATAGATAGATGGATAAATGGACATATTGAAAGATAGATAGATAGATAGATACATACGTACATAGATACATAGAAAGGTAGCTAGATGGATAGATAAGTAGATAAGTAGATATGTACATATGTAGCTAGACAGGTATGTTGCTAGACAGGTATATGTGTAGGTATGTAGGTTTGCAGATAGGTAGATAGGTAGGTAGGTAGGTAGGTAGGTAGGTAGGTAGGTAGGCAAGCAGGTTAGGGTAGATAAGTAGATAAGTTCGTAGATCTGTAGATGTGTAGATCGATAAGTAGGTAGATAGACAGATAGAAAGATATGTAGGTATGCAGATATGCAGATATGTAGATAAGTAGGTAGGTAGGCAGGCAAGTAGGTAGGTGGGTAAGGTAGGTAGGCAGGTAGGTATGTAGGTAGGTGGGTAGGTATGTAGGTAGGTGGGTAGGTAGGTAGGTAGGTAGGTAGGTAGATAGATAGGTAGATAGATACATGATGATACATGGATACGTGGATAGAAGAAGGAAAGATACACAGATGAAGTTGTCGGGCCCGCGCAGTTGACTGTCGAGTTTTCTTGGCCATGCTTGTAGTATAAAAATGGAGTATAGTTACCATAGGCCCCTAAGCCGTTCCTTTTCGGGATTACCTTATAGGATTCTCAACATAAGCCATAAAAAGGAACTACTTAGGGGCCTATGGGTAGCTGCAAATGTCCATCGTGTCGACTTTACATCCCGAAACCGTAAGCCCTCAACAACCCGATACATGGCCGATATCGGTAGACAGGAACCCAGGGGTCACAGCAGTTACCGTTGGCGCGACACCACAGGAGCAAAGAGGAGCGCTTTCATCTGCAAACAAAGATGGTCCTAGAGCTGTCGCGCGGATGTGAAACGGCTTAAGGTTTAGGATTCCAAGATGATGAAAGGGTGATGCTGATTATGATTGTGGTGGTCAGTGATGAGATATATCCCAAGCTGTTGCTGCCGATGATGATGATGGTGTTCATGATCATGACCATGATCATGATGTGAGGTGG